GGATCACCGGAGCCCAGCAGGTCGAGGCTGTGGTGGCCGGGAGTGACCACTGCACTCCAGCCTGGGCGACAGTGACACTCCAACTCAAAGACAAAAAAAAGAAAAACTTCTCATCAGTCTTCAAGGACCCCTGTCTCCCTCTCCCCGATGTCCAAGTAATATCTGCCTCCCGCTCGCTCATTTGGACATAGGTCAAGCTTATTTCAACACACAGCACTTCATGTAAGTCCTAGGACCCTTGTTCAAGTCACACGTGCCTGGCTGTCATGCCCTCCATGCCTTTCTGTGGGCTGGGAGACATGGATTAACAATCAGGACCCTCCCTGACCCGGCCACCAGACCATGGGTTTTCATCATCCCCCACTGCGTCCGGAGCCTGTCCCCTCCCACCGACTTGGCTTTCGAGACGTCTTTCTCCCCCTAACTCTGCCCCCCGCTCTCCCAGGTCAAGGCTTCTGCTGCTGCTGCTTCTTGCTTCATTTGCTGCCCATCAAAAACCCGACCGGTCATCAAAAATCTGACTCCATTTAGGCCTTCCCTCTCCCTTCCTACATTAGCAGAGGAATTTGTCTCATAAACGCTCCACTCTGTTCTAAATATTTAGAGATCAGGCAGCACCCTGCTGAATGTAATCCTCTGAGGACCAGCACTAATGCCAGGAGCTGCTCCAAATTCCATGCCAAAACCTGGCACATAGTGGGTGCCCTTGGCTATGGTCAGAATTGAACTGAAGTCTGCCTGTGTCCATCCAAAAGAGAAATGTGCTGAAGAAAAGGCCGGCCTCCCTTCCTCTCACTCATGCCTGGCCCTGGGCCGGGCACACTGGGGCCACGCCAACCGCGTGACAGAACTCCCCAGCCTCGCCACAACCTCACACAGAGATCCCATCCGGAACGTCTTTTTAGGCCCTGGGTAAACCCGATCTTGGCCCGGCCGCTCTCAGCCTGCACACGCGTTCCTCAAATCATGTACCTCCCAGGAAGTTGCCATGGCTCATTGGGTGAAACAGATAAACAGGAAATCTGGCTACAGAAAGAAAAACGGGTTATAATCGCACTCCTGCCAGGAGCCTGCTACAGAGATTTCAAGGGCACTGACTTATGACGGATGGTTTTCTGTGTGAGAGAGTGTGTTTACACTTGCTGTCTAACTCTGCTCGATCCAGCAGACACACTTAGCCTGTCTCTGGCCCCACAGAAGCTTGGATGCCAGCATGTCTCCTCTTCTTTGGAGACATCCTAGATCCCTGCATTCAGAGGGTGGGAACTGTACCTCACCCACCTCCCCATACCACAACCACTCTCTCTCATATATATATAATTATGTCATAGATATATGACATATTTCAGCTGAATCCAATGGGACCAATAGTACCAAGATGTCTGGGCATTTTCTTCTAAGAAATGCACTTGTCTTTGTTATTCTCTGTTGCTTGCCCTCCCAGATCATCTGAATCCAGATGGACATTTGCTCTCTTGCCATAGGGTCCATGATGGTCTTAGTCTCAGGGTGTATGCTCGATTCCTGGGACTAGAGCCAAGGGGGTGCATACACCCAGTGCATGGTTATGGAATGGGGTGCGTGCAGTAGCTGGGGTGCCGTTGAGTGAAAACCCATGGTGGGTGGAGATGAAAGCCACGTGATTACACCTCTCCTTCCCACACTTTTGGGCAGCACCACCTGGGTTGCTCGATTGCGTTCCATGCAGCCACCCCGTCCGTGGCTCCGGTCTGCCCTTCCTCAGCCCACCTGCCCAAAGGCAAGCTGACTGACTAGAGCATTGAAAGAGAAGAAATGATGACACACACCACAGTCATGGGGACATGGGCCTGAGAACAGACTAAGTTGGAGATTTCACGTTTTGCTCATAAAACATCAGGGCCACAAAGCCAGATATCTCAAGTCCCGGGCAAAACCCGTCAGTCACTGCAAAGAGTAGGGAGCAGGCATGTACTCTAAGCAGTCACCCTGTTTCTGGAACCAGCCTTTGCAAGTGGGTACTCAGGCAACTAAAACCACCTCCTGGTCCTTCTAGGCAGGGTCCTCAGCACTTCACCCATACTATCAGCACTCCTGGAGTCCGTATCTGATGCTCAGCCCCTGGTGGCCTGTATATTAGCAGTCCTTGAAGGTTTCAGTGGTCAGAACAGACGGAGCTCGCTGAACTTGTAGATGAGTCCATTTTGCACTGCTTTAAGGGAATACCTGAGGCTGAGCAGTTTATAAAGAAAAGAGGTTTATTCGGCTCATGCTTCTGCATGGTGCCAACATCTGCTTGGCTACTGGTGAGGCATCATCTACAAACATGGTAGACGGCAAGAGGAACTGGTGAGAGTGGTCACAATAAATGCCACGTGGTGAGAGTGGAAGCAACAAAGGGAGGAGGTAGTGCCAGGCTCTTGTAAACAATCAGCCCTTGCGTGGACTCACAGAGAGAGAACTCACTCATGACGGCCCCCACTAGGCCCCCACATGGGGGATCCCATTTCAGCATGAGATTGGGAGGGGCAAACCACCAAACTACATCACTCAGAAGTGGAAGAAGACGGGAGGAGGGCTGAGTGGCAGAGCGGCTGTTGTTTGGAGAAGCGGGATCACGGTGGGAGTAGATCACGTGAGCAACCACACGCTGCCCGTCACCAACTCACTGCTGCTGGTTCACTAAAGAATCCTGAGGGAAGGCTGATTTGTTTGCATCCTTCCAACATCATGTCTCCAGTAAGCTAGAGTCTAGAATGACCCTTTTCCCCTGAGCTCATCCTCTAGCTTCATACGGTGTCCTGGCTTGCACTAGGGCGGTGTCGTGGTTTTTTCTCTTCCACGGGCATCAAAAACAACCATCCGATACCCTGTCCTCTCTTACCCTCAGTAGGCTCACAGAGGCATTCTGACACATCCCTGCTCTGGGTCACATGGAGTGGTTCCTTTCTCTGCCTTCATGCTTTCCAGGCCACCTCTTGCCTCTCGTTCCTGCCCCTTGTGCCATCCCTTTACCCAGAGTAGGGCACGGCGACAACTGGCTACCCATCAGGCTCAAAGTCTCGCAGCTCAAGGGAAGGGGGGCACTTGGGCTCTTGACCCCAACACATGCCAACCATGGCTCAGGGATGGGTCGCTGTGGAAGCCAAAACGAGTGACTGCCTTGCTGGAGACAGTCCACTTCCAGCATCACAACAAAGCCAGGGCCCGCAGAAATCGGCAACAGGACTCACTTCTTCTTCTTCTATGCCAGTCAGGTCCCAGAAGTAGCCCAGTCGCATCTGTAGTCTCTTCCAGTTTTCCAGAAACATGGTAGCTTAAAAAGAAAGGACAAGTTCAATGAGTTCTGAAGAGTGGATCCCGAATACCCTTTGGGTTCAGCAGTGGAGGTGGGAGACAAACTTGTGGATTTCAAATGGAGGAGCTCTCTTTGAAGCATTTAGCCTCTTTTGCCTTCCTCTAGCCGGAACTCCTCAAAATAGTCCACATCCTTGAGAGCCAACAGATAGGTTAAAGAAACACACACACACACACACACACACACTCCTTCCTCCACTTCCAGATTCTGAGGAGATGGTGAACACTGATCCCAAGAAGTGAAGGAAGACTGGAAGAATGAAGAAAATAAAGATGGAGGGGTCTGCAGTGGTTTTTGACAAGCTTCGTCTTGCCTATGTACACATCCTTTCCTCCTGCACCTTTGTCAGCACTCTCTTTCCCCCCACTCCTTTCTGTTCCCAGCACCTTTTCCTTCTCTGGGTCCTAACCCATCTTGGTCTGAGGTGACATAACAGCCTCCCAACTGTCCTACTTGACTCCAGACTCAGCCTTCCAACCCACCCTGGACGCAGCGGAGGGAATAGAAATAATCTCGGTAAAGCAACATGCGCTCATCTTTCCATGGGCTTGACAAGTCTCTGTAGAATGCCTGCAGTACCTACACACCCTCTGCCCCTCCCGCAGCCCCTCGAAGGGCAAGTCCAACATGCTCTGGGAAGAACTTGACGCCTCTCACACAACCCACCACAATCCTGCAGCCAAAGCTTATACCAGGGTTGAATTCCTCATCCAGAGCCTGCTAATGAACCAATCATATCCTCTCTTTGGAAAAATAAAGCATTGTTCTGTTAAACTCTGGTGTGTCCACGTGGCTCGTTGAGCTACGGTCACCACGTTTCCTAGCTTTGAGCCCCTCCCCTACCTTGAGAAGGTGAATCTTCTCTCTCTCTCTCTCTCTCTCTCTCTCTCCCCCGCCTCCTCTCAAAGAAAAATGAAACTAAGAGCCACAAAGAAAAGCAGGAATAGAAGATACCATGCAGCACCTAAAAGGAGGGAAAACTGTGGTTTCTGACGGTGTCTCCCGCTCTAGCTCCCAGGAGACCTGGCTGTATTTCATTCACTACCTTGCCTATTGCTTTTTCTTTTTCTTTTTTTAACAATAAAGCTTTTGTTATTTGAGTAAGTTTGAGTGAATTCTAATCTGCAAAAACACTTGGCCTGATGAAGGTACCTACAATGTTTAAGACGCTGTTCCAGACAGTGAGGTTGAGACTGGGTGAATCTAACGTGGGCTTTGCTTTCAAGTTGTTTGCATTCTCTGAGGAAAAACTGGCAACAACTACAGTCCAAGTCTTACAGTGGCGAGGGCCTTGGAAAGCCGTGGGCCTGCTGAAGAGGAATGCTAGCTGCCCGCGGAGGCATCTAGGCTGAGTTTTGCAGAACAGGGGAACTGGGGTGGAGAGAGTGGGCAGAGGGAGGGAGCCAACACGGCCTGCCCACGTGTTCAATGCTCCTTATGGCTTATGGCCTAAGTTCTCTCTGGATACCAGGACCATGCATGCCTGGCCAGAGCCATCTGTCCGAATCTCATTCTACCATTTGTCCACACTCACTACACACCTGCATCGCCGCTGGGTCCCCTCCTCACTGTCCTCTCCCCCCATCTGTGCAAACTGTCCCCTTCTCCTGGGCTGTCCTCCAGTTTCTACCCTCATGCTACCCTGGCCCAGCTCAAGTTGCCCTCTGACATACGGCCAGTCCCCACGGGGGCCCAGCCTCCAAACTTCTATTGCCCTACGGTCATGGCAGCCCGGAAAAGGAAGGCTCATGGTACCCCCTGAAGAGTCTGGCTCACTTCACACCATGCCGTGCCTGACTGTGGGTTGCCTGTGATCACAGGACTGCAAATCCTTCCCAGGTTCTTAGCTGCCCATGTCTCCCTCAGACACAGCACGGGACTGAGGATCACAAATACCTAAGCATGGTTGGGTGGGCAGCTACTTAGAGGTGCGTGTGTTTTATGGGCAGCTGCTTTATGGTGCTCTGGTTTTTCTCCCTTGGATTTGAGGCTTTTCTCGTGGGAGCGTCTTCTGACCTCCCAACAATGGCGTTGGTCTGGGGATCCTGAGACCAGGAGGCAGCCCCCCTCCTCTGGCTCCCTCCTCAGTGCCTGAAGAGGGCTGAGCACGCCGGCCAGCCGGGGTCTCCATGGAGGGAGGAAGTGAGACCGCGACGACAGGGGAGCACGGCAAAGGAGTCACGAAGGGACAAGTCATGAGGGCCAGGGAGGACCATTGTGAACTGAGAAAGAACAGCTCACAGTTCTGGGGTGCTTATCTACACCAGGCGCCACGCTACGTGTCACGGGAACACTGTGGGGCTGGTATTAGCTCACTGAATTTGCAGATGAGAACAGTGATGCTCAAAGATGAACCTGACACCTTGGTGTCACAGTGACACAGCGTGAGGTTCACGCGGACTCCTGCAGAATCCCAGCTAGTAAGAAGCAGAACTGAGATGCACTTTGAGGACTACCTGTCCCGAAGCCAGTGTCTTTAACCTCTCTTCAGAAAAGAGCTCGGAAACCTTGTCTCTTTGCTTCCTTTTCAGTAGGGCTCCACTCTCTCTCCCAGAGTCCCCTGGAGTCCGAAGTCAGAACCATGGAGAGCTGGATCTGAAGACTCCTACTCCAACTCAGATCCAGCCGGCTGGTATCCATTGTGATCAGTGGGCTCCACAACCACCACTGCCATAGCCACCAACAGCCCAAGTGTCTCTCTGGGTAGAACCACTCCTTCCCAGCCTTATTCCTGGCAGGCCTGGGTCCTGGCCCAGGCCCACCCAGTAGAGCACCATTAATCATAATAATCATGGTAATGAGAGGCATTACTATTATTTTGAATTGCAATTTGTAGGCAATCATGCTTAAGGGCTCTTGGCGGCCATAGCCAAATACACAATCACATAAAATACTGCAAGACTGCTTTTTTTAAAAAAGCCCTACCCTATGCCAGGGAGCTCTGACACAATTTCACCATTTGTCGGACTCTCCCTACACTGTGATATGAGAGAAGAGAGAGGAGCCAGGGGTAGTAAATTATTGAGGCTCTCAGAAGAGGTGTGGAGGAATCTGTTCACTACAGCTATTGTGGCAAGAGAAGACGCAGTTGTTAAAACTTGAAACTGGGAAGTACAATTCAAAATCAAATTTCTCTGCAACAAGGGATTATGTGTCCCATGAAAGGCCTGGAAGGACCATAGAGTCCAAATGATTAAGCTTCAGCTACTCAATGGTGGTGATATCCGCAAGACAAGTTATAAAATACAACAAAAGGAATATGTATTCTGTGTTCCACATTGGTTCAGGTGGGTCTTGGGGTAATCCCAAGATGACCCTGCTTGACCAAGAGATACAGAGCTGCCCACGACTTCTCAGGCACCAAGCCTGGCTTCAGTAAGTTCTACCGACCCCTCCTGTGAACAGTTCCAGAGCTCTGTGATCTCAAGTTCCATTTCCTCCTACTCCCTGCTCCATCTTTTGAGGGACTGACTTCCTGCCCACGAGCTCCTGGGGAACAGATGCTCCCCCTGAGAACAGAGTGTCTCCTGGACATTCGGTGGCTGAACAAGATGGGAATCTTTCCAGTTAAGTTCTGACTCCACCCAAGTAAAGGTCCCTGCTGGGAACGAAGGAATGTTGTGTTCCAGTTCTCCTTGCACCGCGGAGAACAGCCCTCTACCTCCCCGCCCCTTCTCCTTGTACTCTTAGGGAGGCGTCACTTAGAGCATGTCCTCCAGGCCCTATGAAGTCAGTGATAACTCAAGCAGCATCCATGGCAGGACTGTGGTCTCGCCGTCCGCAATCCCCTGGGCAGCCTTAGAACCTGCACACTCAGTGACAGATGGCTCATCAAATGCACTGACCCGTGTTTTTTAAGGCACGCGTGCGTCTTCCTAGAAAGGTTCACTTGAGGCCGGGCTCAGTGGCTCAGCCTGTCATCCCAGTACTTTGGGAGGTTGAGGCGAGTGGATTGCCCGAGCCTGCAGGTTTGAGACCAGCTTGACAACTTGGCGAGACCTCGTCTCTACAATAAATCGAAAAACATTAGCCGGGCGTGATAGCACGTGCCTGTAATTCCAGCTACTTGGAAGACTGAGGAGGAAGGATCACAGGAGCCCAGCAGGTCGACGCTGGGGTGACCGTGAGCATGCACTGAGCTCCAGCCTGGGTGACAGAGTGAGACTCCGACTCAAAAAAAAGAAAAAAAAAAATGTTCAGTTGGCATGGGGTGGTGAATCCAGGTTATTCCAATATGCAAGAATAGGAGTGTGTGTGTGTGTGTGTGTGTGTGTGTGTGTGTGTGTGTGTGTGTGTGTTTATGGTCAGATAGCCAAGGCTCAGAGCAAGTTTATTACCCTCATATTCTAAGGGGAAGGGAGGACAAGAAAAATGAAGGCACTACTATTTATGTGTTTTTTTTCTTCAAAAATTCCTTTGGGGGGGAATACTGGAAGTACTACTCTGACATTAAATAACATCTCTATAGTCAATGTTCACGGTGTCCTGAAAAGAGCACTGACCCTGGAGTCAGACCAGATTTCAGCCCACCTTTCCCACCCGCTAACTCTGTGACCCTGGTGGTCACGCCACCACTCTGAATGTTCTGTGGCATGATATCTATGAGCTTACGTGACTAAGGAAATGTACCTGGAGGTGCCTTATGGGTGTGCTGGGTTTTTTCCAAGCACACATTGGCTCAAATTCTGAGTAAATCACACACAAGGCTGACACAGGGTTGACATGACCATGTCTAAGAGAATACAGATAAAGACGAAGAACCTTCCTGTTTTTATTCACACATATGAGTAAAGATGAGAAAGGTATTATCCTTAAGATACTTCCTGGGATGTGAAGAATAAAAACACTCAAGTAAGTAAACTGAAGGATAGGAGCTGTAGAGCTTGGTCCCTGCACCCATGTAGAAGTCCCACTTACATAAGCAAGCCACATAACGACCACTTACCCCACAGAGCCATGAAGACGGAGAAGAAGACGGTGGCGGGGTTGTCAAACAAGTGGCTGGCACGCGCGGTCCCACAGGCTGAGCTGAGGTTCCAGTAGTCACAGGACTTGTCACACAGGGGACACATGGTGAAGGTGTTCTGCTGGTCGCACATCTCCCTGCTGGGATAGACAGAGGCCGCTGGGTCAGGTGGCTACTTAAAGGCACCGACCCGTGTTGACTCAGTCCTTTTTGAAGGCATGCGTGTGTCTTCCTAGAAACATTCGGTTGGGGCCAGGTTCAAGCAAGGCCCATGCCAAGTAAATCACCGCAAGACAGCACCCACTTCCAAATCTATGGTTGAGCTTATCGACTCCGTGACTAAGGAATGTTAAAGAAGTAGGAATTGAAGTCTTCACCTGGAGAGCGTTCTCTTATATTGTGTCCCCTAAAAAAGGATGAGTTATCTTCTGAGGCATAAATCTCCCTGTCACTAGAAATGTCCCAGAAAGTTAGGGACCATCTGTTTGTGCATTGAGTTATACCTTATAAATTCCCTACAAGATGTGTTGGGTCTGTGAGGTTGGTGGAAAGCGCCAACAATTGTGAATGATTTTTTGTGTCCTAATCCCAGAGGTGGGGGAAGCAAGTCTACAACATTTTCAAGCTCCGATTAAATGGGAGTACTTGAATTGCAACCAAGTCATCGCTGCAAAGTAGTTCTAAGCAATTAGAAATGATCAGATTCTCATGGAAACTACCATAGAGAACAGAATAAGAACGTACAAGCAATCAAAACATTCTTTACTTTTTGTAACCGAAAGAAGTCCAGTATCTCAAAAAAAAAAAATGGTGGATAAATCACCAGCCTGAAGTTGGGTTTCATCGTCCATTCTTGAAGTCCAGGCTGACTTCAGAATGTCTCACAAACAGATCACACCAGTCACAACTGGAGACAGACATAAGTGTAAGGCTAGACCTGCACGAGCTCTCAGCTTTAGAAAAAGAAGCCCCTTCACTGACTCGCTGCTCAGGTGTCGGGGAAGGAATCGATCTGGGAGGAATTGATCTGGGCGGAAAGCCCTTTCCTAAGAGCATTAGCCATATGGCCAATTGCAGAACGGAGATGAGAACTTCAACCTAATAAGAATGATCATCACCATGAAATGGGATCAGGGAGGATGAAACAGTACGGCAAATTCTTCCAAGGTCTAGATTCTCTGAGACTTGGAGGGAGACGCATGGACCAGATAATCTCTCGTGACCTGTATTTTAACCGACGCTGAGTATATTTCTATTTAATGGACGGGCGGATAGAGCTAAGATTCCATTCATTCATTAGGTAATTAGCTGGACCCAATAAATCCAGGCTCATATGATTGTTTGCAAATAAAGACCAAAGAGTTACCGGCCCTGACTGGCTTTCCCAATATCCCTCCCTCCCGTGTACTGGTAGGAAAATCAGTGAACGCATCACTCTGGTATGAAATACGCCTCCAGGGAAATGGGTAGGTGGTGAAGCTCATGGTTTCAGGGGAAAGGGTGGAGGCCTCAAGAGCTCATGAAAACCAAGCATTGGCTGTTTTCAGACAGCAGCTGGAGATGGGGGGGGGACGACCCGGCTCTGAGAAGCACACAGTGTTTTCCATACGAAGAGGCAGCAGAGGGGGCTGCAGAGTGGAAGCCACGTGGCTTCCACGTGGGAGGCACCACCCGGGAGCCAGGGGTACCCTGAGTGTGCAAGCAGGCGCTTAGAGGAAGCCTCTGAGGCCAAAGGGATGCCGGGGTCTACTTCCCCCTTCGTGAGGAAGTGGAGGGAGATTTACCCAGGGCTGCCACCTCCCATCAAGTCCCAGCTTCCAGGCTTCTGTTTTTAATGAGCTGTGAAGCCCAGGATGGGAATGGGGAGGTCTACTATGTAAGAGGATGGAAAACTCAAGGTCTCTGGAATCCCAGCTCCTTCACTGACTCGCTGCTCAGGTGTCGGTTAAAATGGCTCATTCACATCGAAAATATCAAGTGGTGACATCTCAACAAGACGTCCAGCTGTGCTGGCTTCACCGAGGCATGTTCTTATTGGTGTCTAGACAGCACGTCTTATTTGAAGTCTTCTAGGTCAGGCAAGTGTTTGCTAGGTATCGGGGGGGGGGGCAAAAAACCTGGAATTTATTTATTTAAAGTTGTATATTTGTTCTCACATGTTTAAACTTCAGTCCCCTTCCCAGTACTCTCTGTCTGATGCGATGCACCCATCGAGACGCTTTTCCCGCAGCTCAAAACGGTTTCTGAACTCGTCGGTTTTGATGCCGTCGAGTGCTTCTGCCATCTTTTGTTTCACCTCTTCCACACTGGCGAGACATTTCCCTCGGAGGACTTTTCTCATCCAGGGAAACAGATTAAAAGTCAACCGGGGTGAGATGGGGTTAATGGGTGGGTGAGGCACGAGGGCCATGCGGTTTTTGGTCAATAAGTGCTAAACGCTCAGTGTGGGGCGGCCAGTGTGTTGTCATGGTGGAAGAACAAGTTACCTGTTTGGCACAACTCAGGATGTTTCTTCTACAATGCAGTCTCTCACAATAACACTAGCGGGCACACCGATGCCGCCGATGAGTTTCTGGAACACTTACCTCGCCAGGGAAGCCTGCCTCCAAAAGATAATTCCGGTTTTTGGGGCGGGTCCCAAAGTAGGAATTGCTACTTTCAGAGAGGAGAGTGCCCCCCTAGATTTACACAGAAAATTGTCTGAATAAATTTGAATAAGGAGGTTTATTTCTAGGCCGTGTCTGAAAACATATAAATTCTTCAAAGCTGCTTTCCAAGTAGGTGTGTTAGGGACTTCACTTTGTTCAAGGATCTGGTTTTAAGCTTAGATTAGGAGAGAGAGAGAGAAAGAATCCTAGTTAAATCTAGTCAATGCTACAAGGTCAGAAAGGAAAAAGTATTAGCAGCCAAGTTTGTGCAAAGCACTTTGAAATGTAAGTGCTGTGTAAATTACTGAGTTTTAAATTGGAGTGCAGGCAGCTATCAATCATTTGTATAACATGGTGGCCACTGCAGCATGGATTCTCCTCAAATCATTTAAATTTGAAGTCAGAATGCTTTCTACGTATTGGTTGTTTTTTTTTTAAATGTAAGCCATTTAAGTAGAATTCTAGAGAGATTCTGGCTAAGAATGACTTTAAATGACTTTGCATTCCCTGAGAGGCTGCCTGAGGACAAGCTGACAGATTAGGGCAACTCACCTAGAATTCAAGTCATGACTAGGTTACCCACTCACTGCATAAGCCACCGATTTCTAGTGAGAAGTCACAGTAGCCATAAATCTCATGGTTTGTTTCTCCAATCTATCATTTTCTCTAGAAAGCACGAGAAGGTTGACCAATGGCTTGACAATAGACTCAACCAAGACCCTAAGACAACACCCTGTGGTGTTCCTCAGGGTGTGTCACTGCTCACCCCTTACGCGGCACGGGGCTGTGCTCGGACAAAGCAAGGCGGTACAGAGAGCAAGCTATTTGGGAAATTCAGACTAAACAGCTGCTGTTAAGGTCTTAGAACTAAAACAACCATCTTCTTTTCGAATATGGTTTAGACGAATTGGCTTTTTGTTTAATGCCCCAGTCTTCACTGCCCATTTAAGTAAGTGCTTAACAAATGAAACCAATCCTTTGGTAAGTAGAGGAAAGTTCTGTTGATGTGGAATGATTGCTGTTCCACAGATATGGAATTATAAAGTTCTGTAGACATGCAATTATTACTTACAAACTTGTGCTTCTATCTCACATAGCAAAGTTACCAGGCATAGGAGGTACCACTTGAAGTCCCACAAAATCAGTGCCAGTGTTCTGGTTCTGATACAGCACTGTCGTTATATAAGCTATCACCACTGGGAGAAACTAAGTTACGGGTACACTGGGCCCCTCTGTGCTGCCTTTGAAACTTCCTCTAAATCTGTAATTTTCCTAAAATGAAAAAAAATTTTAAGTGAGAGTAGGCTTGATGCCAACATTAGCAACTTCTAAACTAATATCAGAAGTGATACAAGTTTTTAATGATGCCGAGATGAGGCTGAGGGACACAGGCTCTTTTTTGTGTTTGTTTGGTTGGTTTGTTTTGTTTTGTTTGTTCTGTAGAAAGAGAGTCTCACCCGGTTGCCCAGGCTGGAGTGCAGTGGCACAGTCATAGCAATCCTCCTGCCTCAGCCTCCCAGTAGCGGGGACGACAGGCATGTATCACCAAGACTAATATTTTGGGTGTGTTCTTTGTAGAGACAGGGTTTCACTGCATTGCCCAGGCTGTTCTTGAACTCCTGGGCTCAAGAGATCCTCCTACCTCAGCTTACCAAAATGCTGGGATTACAGACATGAACCATTACTGACACAGATTCTTTTTTTTTTTTTTTCTAGTTGGAGTCTCACTCTGTCGCCCAGACTGGAGTGCAGTGAAGTGCTGGGCTCCGGCGATCCTTCCGCCTCAGCCTTCCAAGTAGCCGGAATTACAGGCGCGCGCTACCACGCCCGGCTAATTTTTTGATTTATTGTAGAGATGAGGTCTTGCCTGCCCAGGCGGGTTTCGAACCCACGGGCTCAGGCAATCCATTCACCTCAGCCTCCCAAAGGCGCGGGATGACAGGCTGAGCCACCGAGCCCGGCTGACACAGACTCTTAAAGAGTATGAATTTGCTTAGATTCACTATTAGGATTTAGAGAATATTCTTTGTTGATAAGGAGTGGTATGCTGCAACTTTCCATCAGGCTCACAGAATTTGGTCTTTTGATGAATATATAGTTATGTTTAAAGGACAAATCTTTTGGGCAACCCCCTCCCTCCCACTGTGAGAGCTTTTCTGTCTTCTCAATAAATCCTGCTTTCTAAAAACAAACAAACAAAAAAAGACCAAATCTTTTTTTAAATCTACATAAAATGTATATATTTTTAATTATGTAAACATACCTGATTGCCAGACCTTATCCCGAGTTTTAAAAATGGACGACCAAAACTTCAGTTTTGTAGCAATCTCAAGCTTTTTTGGCTATGGCTTACGGTTAAAAAAGTTTTTTACATCAGATTTCAGTCTGCAATTACATCCACTCACCCTCCCAAACACACTTGTAAAACAGAAACAAAATCTCCTGAAGCAACATTTATCCTTCTTTTTTGTAATAAATACTAATGTCTTACTTTATTCTCTTTTATCTTATCTTATTCTAGTTCCTTTAAAAATTAATCCATTCAATTGACTTTACAACCCACCAATGGGTTGTTATCCTTAGGAGGCACACCCTGACAGGCAACATGATACATTAAGTCCCCTACATACACACCTTCAAGTTGCAAACCTTCAAAGATGTGAATGTGCATTTGCATGTTCAATCATGTACATTAGCTCACGTGTCTGGCATACACTGTCATGTGCATGCACCTCTACAAGTGTCTATGCTTTTGTGAATTTTGTAGTACAGGGTTATATACAGTACAATATCTTTATTTCAAGCCTAGGATGTCCAGAAGCAAGCATGAAGCAGCAGTGATGTCTCTGGTACTGGATGGCTAATTGTGTTAGGCTGATTTTGTTGGACTTACAAACAAACTGGGCTTGTGAATGTGCTCTCAGAATGGGACTCATTTGTGTTTCTTTTTGTTGTTGTTTGTTTTGTTCATTTGTTTTTTTCTCTTTTTTTTAGATTTGAAAATACAGTTTATTTAGAAATAAATTTCAGGGTCGAGGTTCTTGTCTCATGTCCAGGAAGAATGAGGGACACAAACAGCCGAAAAGTGAGAAAGCAGGATTTACTGAGAGGACAGAGAAGCTCCCACAGAGGGAGGTGACCCGAAGGGGTTGCCCCAGAACAGGACTCATTTGTATGTAGGGCACTTACTGTACATCTGCAGTAATAGCAAATGCCTTTCACATGTGTACATTCTTGCACACATATGAGTATGTGTGAATGTGGGATACATGTGCCTGCATGCAGACATCTACTTTTTGCAGCATGTGCAGACCATGTCATTTCCAGCTGCAGTGGCTGCTACCATGTGTATTCCCACATGGCACAAGTTCCAAGTCCTGATATATACCAGCATACTGGGCCCCACCTATTGCCCTGGCACTGGATCCCTATGGGGTTTTCGAGTTTTGATCAACTTGATGCCAGATCTCTAGTGAGCATAACAGGCAAGGGAAACCCAAGGGCCATGTTTTCTGAGAACATACCCAGGCAAGCCCAGGCTACTGGACTGTCGAGGAGGATATGTGCCTTCTGAAAGACCTCACTGCTTGTTGGAAACAGCAATGACTTTGGAGCCGGGGTCAACAGGCTTCTGTGTCTAATCCACAGATTTCTAATGAGAAGTCGCTGGGGCTATAAATCTAATGGTGTCTTTCTTCAGTCTATCATTTTCTTGAGAAAGCATAGGAAGGGGGCCAAATGGCTTGACAGTCAGTTGAACCAAGACCCGAACGAGTTCAACTCCCAGCCCTGACAATTATTAGTTGTTGGACTCAGACAGTTTATGTGACTTCACTTAGCATCTCCATCTCTGTTACGTGGAAATAATAATACCTATCTTATGAAGTTTACAATGTTGATCTCTTGCAGGGCCACCTAGCACAAGGAAGGTATTTGATAAATATTATTATTACACTATTATTATTATCATGCTAGACTGGACTGGAGAAGGCAGAACTCAACAACCAATCTCCTAGGATGAAGGTCCCAGAATTCCCAATCAAGGACATCTGACATGTAATAATGGAGTTGATATGTAAATATATATCCAATCTCTTGTCTTACACTAAGTGATTTCTCTTTATTCTCAGTTAACAATATAATCTCCAGCTGACTTCATTTGAAGGGACATTTCTATAAGTTGACATGGCAGTAAGAATAGCCGCTAGCTTCTGCCTACTGGTGGATTCTCCTTCCTCAAAAGCAGACAGTTCTTGGCTCTTTCTTCAGGATGACCGTGACTTTCCCTATCATTGCCCCGAGCTCTAGCAGACATGCATAGTCTGCCCAGTGTCCTCATCCTCCTGGCTGATGGAGGGAGCATCATGTTTGTGCAGAACCATTGTGGCAGGAGGCGGCATATGCTCAGATATATGTTTTGTGTGATTGAGTGAATAAACACAGAAACACATGTGGCTGATTCAGAGCAGCAGTTGGCCTCACCTGGGCTGCCACTAGCCCAGCGGCAAGAAGGAAAGCTTGATAGCAGTTAAAGATATTTCCCTTTGAAAGGCAAGTTGCAACTTTAAAGGCCTGCCGGCGCCAAATAGCCCAAAAACTAGCCATTTAATGGATATGCAAAAAGAGTGGCTAGTTCACAGCCTTGTCTGAAGTTGACGGTTTACAATCCTGCAGTTCCTGGAAACCATTTGTTCTTTGCAAAATCTGATTTTGCTGAGTACAACCTTGTAAGATTCCAAAGGAAGTATGTAATCACTCAACAGGACCCCCCTCCCTTACCTAAACGAGGGTATAAGACCCCACGTCTCCTGTTCTGGGGTGCTAGAGCTTGATTTGGATGCATGAAATTCTCGGCCCGCTGTGCTGTGCTAGCCAACGTAATAAAGTGTCACTTCCTATAATAGTCTCGGTGTCACGATCTCTCTATTTTTCCTGCTACACCATCTGCCTCATAGCCATGATGAGTAGGTCCAGGGCCTCCACCTAAGTCAGACTGAGCCTAGCAGGGCTTTTTCACTTGCGACCAGCGGAGTATAAAACTATATTTCAGTTTGAGAAGACAGTTCTGAAGATGGCAGGAAGTTGAAATTTTATTTTATTTTAATATTTTTAAACATCAAACTGTGGGATGCATTTTCTTGGACAGAGGAAGTTGAAATTTTAAATGTTAGCTAAGCATCCTTTTCTTCCTTGGAGTCTATTTCCATATATTTTGATTTATTTAACAGTCACTTACTAATCTTTTGCTATGTACCAGACACAGTCTCCTTTAATCTTCAGAACACCAAATGAGGTAAGCATTACAGGTGCCATTTTGTAGCCCAAAAAACTAAGACTCAAGAAGCCAACTGTCCAGTCACATGGTCAATGTGTAACATGGTCAGTCCTAGAGGATGCTGTTTTTAAGTGCTTATTTGCTTTGCAGGCTCTCTCTTTCCCCATAAAGATGAGCCTTTGTTTTATCTCTTGGTGCTCAATAGCCTGTCATTGGGTCTGTCACTTCCTGCAGTTTCTGACTTCCTGAAATAGAGGCTGAGCTGCCTCAGTGTTAAAGCTGCCTGCTTCCTTAGAACACTTCATTCCAACAGCGTCTGACCATATAAACACATTATTTCTACCTAACATCACTCTACACATCCTGGCTCGGGTCTTATGGGAAACCAGAGGGAAAAGCCATGAAGTTGAGGAGAGAAAAAAAGCATTTCTTTGTCATGGTCCTTTTTTCATCAAGTATTATCCACCTGTCCACATCAGGCCTTGGCCCTGGAAAAGAACTTAACTAGAAAGGGAAGTGGCTTACACCCAACATGACTCTGAAGCCGTCCCAGAATCTGTAACTCCTAGATCTGTCTTTGGAGGAAGGTTACCCATGTCATGGGGATATAGAACGATAGAGGGTGAGGACTTTGGAAGGAGGCATGTGAAATCTTCTTGCAACTAGGATGAAATTCCGAATTATTAACATATGGGAACTGAGGCTTTACAAAAACCCGGCTTACCTGGGAATATCTTCTTCAATTGTTACACATCCATAAAGAAACACAATCACTCCGATTACAGAAGATGGGATGAGGAATGATGTATATAATCCCAGCCAGGCAAAATACAGTCCAATTTTTTCTCCAAAGTACTTTCTGGAAAAGAAAGAAAGAAAAGAAAATGAAATACATATTAAGAACATCATATACTTTCCTTATTTCTGTTGGTTCTGAGCCTAAGGATGGGTCGGCATAAATACTTATTCCCCTTGTAGCAAATACAAAGGGATAGAGGTTACATGGTGGTGGGGGAAACCTCAGCCCAAGAAATCAACAGCCAGTCTTTTCTGAAAGGAAGCACATTCCATTGGAATCACATATACACACCTGCCTTGGCTGTTCATGCAAAATAGCTGTGAGAAGGAATCCAGCCCTAGCAGCAAACTAAAAATATGCCATAAATTTTGGCATCTTTACCAAACATGAATAACACATCATCATTTTATAAGTGCCATAGTACTCAACCCACAGGAAAATACACCTTTGGGGAACTAGCTTATTTAAACAAAACATACAGCTCATATATTTGGGCACGTATACTTGTGTATGCAAGCCAATACAGATACATACATTTACATATTCTCTCTCTCTCTCTCTCTCTCTCTCTCTCTCTCTCTCTCACACACACACACACACACACACACACAGAAAAATGATTAGAAGAAATTCAATAAAATATAAGTAGTGGTTTCTTTGGATCATGGGATTATGGATGGCTTTTATATCTTTATTTTTAAAACCACTTTGTCATTGAGGTGTGATTGACATACAAAGAACTGTACCTATTGAACTTATACAACTTGATAAGTTTGGAGGTAAGTATATACCCATGAGACCATTACCACAATGAAGCCATAAACTCATCTATCACCTCCGGATTTACTTTTGTCCCTGCCCCCTTTTTTAACGAAACAATTTTGTGTGTGTGTTAAAAATCACTTAACATAAGATCGACCCTCTTGACAAATTTTTAAGCACAAAATACAGTATTGTTAACTAGAGACTTTATGTTGTACCATGGATCTCCAGAGCTTATTCATCTTGCATAACTAAAATGTGTACCCTTTGATTGTCATCTCCCCACGTTCCCTTCCCTGTAGCCCCTGGTAACAACCATTCAACTCTCTTCAGCACTCTGGCCTTATAAGTTTGACTGTTTTAGATTTCTCATAGAGGTGGGTTGGACAGCATTTGTCCTTCCGTGTCTCTCTTACTTCACTTAGTATAACAGTCCTCCAGGTCCCTCCATGTTGTTGCAATTTGCATGATTTTCTTATGTTTTAAAGCTGAATAATATTCCATTGTATGTGTATACCACATTGTATTTATCCATGCACATATCGATGGGCACTAGGGTTGCTTCCACCTTTTGGCAATTATGAATAATGCTGCTATGAATATGGAAGTGCAGATAACTTTTGGGGGTCCTGATTGAATTCCTTTGAATATATATCCAGAATGGGATGGTTAGATCAAATGATAATTCTATTTTTAATTTTGAGGGGGGACTTCCATACTGTTTTCTGTAGTGGTTGCACCAATTTACATTCCCATCAACAGTGAACAAAGGTTCTCTTTTCTCCACATCTCCACCGATAGTTGTTATTTTTGGTTTTTGACAACAGTCATTCTAACAGGTGTGAAGTGATATCTCATGAGTTTGATCTGCATTTCCCTGATGAATGGTGATGTCAAACACTTTTTCACATACCTGTTGACCACTGGGATACCTTCTTTGGTGAAATGTCTTGGCTCAAATTTTTAATCAGGTTATTTGTTTTCTGTGTTTTGTTTTGTTTTGTTTCTGTTTTGCTTTTGAGTTATAGGAGCGTTTTACGTTTTGGAGATGTTAATCCCTTAAAAGAGATAGAGTTTGAAAAGGTTTCTCCCATTCTGAATATTGCCTTTTCATTGGTTGTTTCCTTTGCTGTGTACAAGGATTTTAATTTGGTATATTCCTATTTATCTATTTTTGCTTTTGTTGCCTATGCTTTTGGTGTCATAGCCAAGAAATCATTATGAAGTTCAACGTCTAGAAGCTTTTCCCCTGTTTTCTTTTAACAGTTCTGTTGTTTCAGGTTGTGTATTTAAGTTTTTGATGCATTTTAATTTGGGTTTTGTTTTTTTTTTGGTTTTTTTGGTGGAATATAAGAGTCCAACTTTTTTTTTTTGCATACGGATAACCAGTTTTTAGTCAGCTCTTCCAGTCCATAAACACAAGATATCTTTCCATCTATTTTTGTCCTCTTTATTGTTTTGCATCAATGTTTTATAGTTTTCACTGCACAAATCGTTTACCTTCTTGGTTAAGTTTATTCCTAGATATTTTATTCTTTTTTACACTATTGTAAATGGGACTATTTTCTTAATTTTCTTTTCAGATAGGTCACTGTTAGTGTATAGAAATGCAACTAATTTTTGTATGTTGGTTTTATATCCTTTAGCTTTACTAAGTGAATTAATTAGTGTTTGTCTGTAGAGTCTCTTGGGTTTTCTGTATATAAGATGATGTCACCTGCTTTGCATATCCAACCCTGAACTGTACCCATCTTTAAAATGAAAAATTTTTTAAATATTATATCACCTGAAAACTGAAAAAAATTTACTTCATCCTTTGCAATTTGGATGCTGTTTCGTTATTTGTCTTGCTTAATTGTGCTAGCTAGAACTTCTGGGACTATGTTGAATAAAAGAGGTAAGATTTGACATTCTTCCCTTATTTCAGGTCTTAGGGGGAAGAAAACTTTTTTTTACCACCAAATATGCAGTTAGCGATGAGATTTTCAGAAATCACTTTTATTGTGTTGATGTAAGTTCCTTTTATACCTAAATCATGGAATTTGGAATTTGGCAAATGTTTTTTCTGCATCGATTGAGATGGTCATGTGATTTTTATCTTCAATCTGTTAATGTGGTGTATCACATTAACTGATTTGTATGTGTTGAACCATCCTTGTATCCCAAAAGTAAATCCTACTCGGTCACGGTATATGATTCTTCTAATATGCTGTTAAATTTGATTTATTAGTATTTTGTTGAGGACTTTTGCATCTATGTTCATCAGGGATATTGACATATAGTTTTCTTTTCTTGTAGCATCTTTGGCTTTGGTATCAGGGTGTTGCTGGTCTCAGGATGAGTTTAGAAGTTTTCTCTCTTTTTCTGTTTTTTTTTGAATAGTTAACCAAGGATTGGTATTCATTCTTCTTGGCATGTTTAAAAGAATTCACCTGTAAAACCATCCATTCCTGGGCTTTTCTTTGTTGGGAGGTTCAAAAAAAATTACTGCTTTAATCTCCTTATTTTTCAGTGATATATTCAGGCTTCCTATTTCTTCTTGATTCCGTTTTGTTTGATTGTATGTTTCTAGACCTCTATCCATTTTTTTCAAAACTGTTCAATTAATTGCTGAAAATAGTCCCTTATGATCCTTTTTATTTCTATGGCATCAGTTGTAAAGTCTCCTCTTACATTTTTGTTCTTATTCATTTTAGTTCTCTCTCTCTTTTTTTAAATTATGAATAAATAATAAAATTGTCAATTTTGTTGTCTTTTCAAAAATAAACTGTTTATTTCATCAATTTTAATTGTTTTTCTATTATCTAATTTATTTTAGTCCTAATCTTTGTTCTTTCCTTACTTTTGATAATTTTGAGTATGTTCCTTTGCCTTTTTGTAGTCCCTTGATATGGAAAACTAGGTTGTTAAATTGAGATTTTTCTTCTTATTTAATGTAGACACTTATCACCATAAATGTCTTCATAATATCACAATATGATAGCTTTAATTGAATATCACAAGTCTTGCTATGTTGCATTTTCATTTTAATGTGTCTTGAGATATTCCCTTTTTTAATTTAAGTTTTTAAATTTCCTTTTTGACTCATTCTTTGACCTAGACTTATTATTCCTGCATGGAAGTTTTTCTTTCTGTTAGTACTTTGAATTTATCATCCCATTCTCTCCTGGCCTGCAAGACTTCTGCTGAGAAATCCACTGGTAGCCTTTTGAGAGTTCTCTTGTACATGAAAAGTCACTTTTCTCCTGCTGCTTTCAAAGTTATCTCCTTGACTTTTGAATTTTATTTAAAGGTGGCTCAGTGTTAACGTCTTTGCATTCAACTGAGTATCCTGAGACTTCATGAATCTAGATATTTATTTCCCTCCCTAAATTTGAGAAATTTCTAGCCATTATTTCTTTGAATAAGCTTTTTTCTTTTTTCTCTTCTCTTTCTGAATCCCCAATAATAAATATAATGGTTCACAAGATGGTGTCCCAAAAGTCTCATAGGTTTTCTTCACTCTTACTATTTTTTGTTCCTCTTATTGAATAATATCAAGTCACTTGTCTTTAAGTATAATAATTTCTTTCTTCTGCTTAATTGAGCATGCTATTACAGCTTTCTATTAAGTTTTTCCATTTAGTCATTGTATTTAGTTCCAGGATTTCAATTTGGTTCTTTTTATGATTTCTATTTATTTGCTGAACTTCTTATTTTGTTCATGTATTATGCTTCTGATTTTTTTTTGTCTGTCTTCACTTACAGCTCACTGAGCTTCTTTAAGACAGTTCTTTTGAATACTTTTTCAAACAGATTTTGCATTTCAATTTATTTAGAGTAAGTTAATGAAGTCTAATTAAGTTCCTTAGGTAATATCATGTTTACCTGATTCCTTATGATTAGCCTTGAGTTTGTGTCTATGCATTTGAGAAGCAGTAACCTCTTCCATGACCTACTGACTGTTTTCAGCAGGTAAAGATCTTCAGTAGCCATACTGCTCAGAGATTATGGGTGAGTCAGCTGCTAGGGGCTTCAGACATGCCAGCTGACAGCATCTGTGAGCAGACCTAAGCTGGGAACCAAGGGTGGATCTGTAGCCATAGTCTATGGGTAGGCCTGCTGCTGGTTCTGTAGGCAGGTGGGTCTTCTGCCAGGGTCCATGAGTGGGCTGAGCTTCTGCTCTGCAGGTGGACAGAAATTCTACTGGGATTCAAATGCAGGTGGGGCAGTCATTGGATTCTGTGGTTAGGCGGGGTTGCTGCTGAATTTATGGACAGATATGCAGGGCTACTTCTGGGCTCGTGGGAGAGTGAGTG